ACAGACCCAGCCAGCCACCACCTCAGTTCTATTCATTTGTTTTAAAACAAATACGTACATATACACACACATACACATCCAGTAATTGGTTGCTGACTAATTGCTCGCGGCCACTGCCGTATATATACAGTTAAGTAAACATGACGTATGGTACTACTACGAGCCGTGTATACACAAAACATGAAACTCACTTCTTGAATTCCCCGCATCATTAAAATTTTCCTTTATAATTGTATTTCGTTTATTTTTTTAGTACTCCGCTCAGTCTTTCCTGTTCTAACAATGTTTGAACAGAGTTGTAAGTACTTATATGCCTTTGGGGCTGTAAAATCAAAACTAAATAGTACGTTGCAATAAAAATGCTTGTTGGGTCGTACAAAAAAAGCGTACAGTATTCAATGACCAGTGCCAATTGTTTTCTTGACCATGGATAACTTGTCCACATCCTGTCATTTTCCAGATCACACAAATATTACAACTATATTTACCAGACTCTGGTAAATATTATTATCAACAATAAGTTTCACTCCACCCAAATGTTTCCACTCTACTTTACGAGCATACTACAATAGAATGGTGCACGCAAATACCTGTATGTGATTGCGGATCACCCACGCAACTTGTAGTCTTAGAATAACGTAACGACGAGCAAACGGAACGCATAATTAAACTATTAATCGAAACCTATTACAGGCGAACAGATGAGAAAATAATGAAAGAGGGTTGTGGTGTGAGAAATAGGAAAACTGATGATGATGTATGGTACTGAGAGAGATAGAAAGTGAAAGATAGGGTGAAAAGGAAAGCAATAGAGATAGAGAGAGAGAGAGAGAGACAGAGAGACTAACAATCAAACAAACTCGGGACTACGTTGCTTAATATGCAAGTAATTAATTCTACAATGAACGGGCCTCGTCCGTTTTTGTCCGTTAATGAATTTTCTCGGACGAGTTAATTAGCGTTTTCAAAACACATGGCATACACACACACTCAACAAAGTCAAATATAATATCCTATAGCGAACCATTGCTAAATTAATTAAGTACGCCCCCCGAGATTAGACATAATGTAATTATATACATACATTCATTTTGTACTCACATACAATAATTTCTGTGTGCACAAAGTATTCATACTTTTGTTATGAGTACACTAATTGATACTCTTAAAAAAAATGTACGAATTTTTAAATATGTGTATTTAACGCCAACAATATAAGGATAATTTTGGAAAAATATTAATAAAAATTTTATATATAAGTACGAATTTTCAATATTTTATGTCAAAATTACACTACTCGTGTATACAATCAACGTGCCTTTTAAAATTATAATAGTGACGTATGGGAACTTTTGAATCATTTCTTATAGTGTAAAATTTAATATAAATTTATGAATATTTCGAAAAAAAAAAATTTAATATTATATAGATAGTAAACATTAAAAATATTGTAGCGTTTGTGTTTTTAAACTTATTTTTTGCTTTAATCATAGATTTTATAAATTCACATGTGATAATTCCATTTTTAATTTTTACTCACAAATGGTTCTGAAATTATTCTTCTTTATCATTTTTATCAATATTAATCTATTTTTCTAACTTGATGATTTCTTTATTTTCAATAGTTATAACATTAGCTTTAAAATATCATTTGAATTGGTTTCATTTTAAACGGGTAAAGTAAGGATATATACGAAATAGAATACACTATGCAGAGATAATAGATGAATAAAATACACATTAGTCGATAGTGTTTTTCCGGCGTGTTAGATCTGAATTATTCTAAAGCTTGAAATTTAAACTATTTTCAAAATAAACGCTGAAACTAGTATACAGGTGTTTAAAAAGTAAAGAAACAGGTCAATTGTTACAAACAATGAGCAAAATAGAAACCCGTTTGCTTAATGAACACCCTAAACATCGAAGACCAAAAAAATGTCTAAAATAGAATCACAAGCATTTAAGATCTTTTACCCAAATAATTAAAATTTAGTACACGAGTGAGATTATTTTTAATGCAATGTTTTGCATGTTTTATATATCATAACAACAATAATGAAATTAATTTTTCACTGCTTAGAGAATTGTTGTACATCATTTTTTACAACAACAATATGTGATCGTGGAAAAACGGCAGAAGATTGCCATTTTGAAAGATGTCTAGGTTAAAATATGAATGGACACAGAGAAAGGACTTTTATAAACGGTAATTCACGGGTGATGGACGAACAGTTGAACCGGAAATCTCATGGGTGCCATCGGTTTTCTAAAACTCGATTTTTCAAAACAGAAAAAAACCCGTAAACAAAATAGACAAGTACATGTATACAAATAGATAAAAGTTTTAGTAAATGGTCATCTCCCTAAGGATAATTCGATATGTTATTAGAAGGGTCGTTGCAGTAAAGACTAGATGGAGACGTGTGTCCAATTCGACTTATTGCCTTCTAATGCCCGGGCATCGATTTAAACGTCAGGCCCGTGGGTTTTAATAACCTAATAGCATTACTACCGTCTCCTGCTTGGAGTGTGTATATATATATATATATGTAAACGGATGCGTGTTGTTGCCGGAATATTATTAATTTAGTGTAGTATGGATCGATTTATTTTCTCGGTAGAGGAAATTAAAATGGTTCGCAAGAATATACAATTCTTTCCTTTGGCAATCCTTGAAGAATATTATGTTTTACTTGAATTTTCAATTTTGTACTGCCCTTATTTTATGAATTACCTAACTTGGAATTTTTAATCTGCTCAGTATTTATTTGTTATGTAAACATTACATATTTTATTATATTTATTATTTATTTTAGATAACTAATACCAAACGCGGTTTTCTCGGTACCTAATGCAACAGCGATGCCATAATAGTGTACGTTTAACTTTTATCTAAAGTTAGTATTCCCAAAGGCATTTCCTTTGATTTTTACACGCACTCATTGGAATACTGCATAAACAACTATTTTTTCTAGGTGTAATCTATTAACCTCAATTTGAGGTTACATAAAATACAACATAAATATTTTTATTATTTGTCTTGTGTATTTATTTAGACGATAAATCGTCAGTAATGGAGGTCGCTATTGTACATCGAAATATATAAGAAAACATAGCGAATGTAGTAACCGTTCCTGGTAGGTGTATTGGAAAATTTCGGATAATATTTGTTTGGGCGCAATCCTCTGGTAAATATAACTATTTTCATTTACGAACATTGATCGTTAAAACACACATAAACCGTCAGAACATTTCACTTTTAATTAGCTTTTAAACGGTGTCCTTTGTGCCCGTGGTTATAACTTTATGTTGGCATTAAATATAATATGCGCATACCTATAACTCAAAGGCGTTCATAAATTTTTTAATATAACATGGTCCATAACGATGCGTTTGATGTACAGTCCTGAAGGGACGCTCGCAATATTTGGCCATTGGGAGTTTTTCAATGTAGATACACATGAATAATATAAATTTCTAATCCAAAAGAAAGGTAAAGTAAAATTCTACACGAAAATAAGCTTCAATAATATAGTTCAGATCGCGCACAATTTAATTTTATGAAAAAAAATCACCAAACAAATATTGATACTTTTACTAAATCGAATAAACAATAACCGTTCAAAGTGTGTAAAGCTCAATAAGAAACCGGAAAAAGGAAGTAACTATATATTTAATTCATAAAAATGTGTCAAAAATGATTGTAATACAAATACTGCAGAAATTATTATTATTATTATTTGAAGTGAAACAATATTCGCGCTCCCATAGTTTAAACGAAAGAAAAAAAAATACTACGTTGTTTCTAAAGTCATCTTTCTACCGTTTAGTATGTATAAACATTGAATTTTACCAAAACATTACTGACGTATGGTGGCGATGCATATACATATTATTTTTAATGCCGAAATTCTTAAGTTTTTTTCTCTTGTTTTTCTAATAAAACATAATCCAGAAGTCGTTATTTTTTTTAGTGAATATTATTAAAATCCGAAAAGTAATAACCTAAAATGAATGCACTCGTTGTGCGTAGTTTGTGTGACGAATAATTCACGTTCCGTCGGACCTTGTCCCTCCGCGGTCACTACAGAGACCCTTAAAAACAGAAACACATATTATATTTCATATACACAGCAAGACGAACGAGAGAATATTAAACGTAAGGAACGCGGATAACCGTTTCTACTCTCTATCGTATAAAACCAATTTAATATTGAGGGATTTTCAATATTCGTTTATGTCGTGCCCGGTTAGGAACTGATATTATATCATATTATATATATATATTTCAGACTTTTGGTTTTGACAGATGAAAGACATTTCTTTAATACACCCGACCCTCCTATTGTTAGCCTTTATATGTATAGACATCAATATGTACCAATAACGACGCGTGTGCTTACACTGTAGAACTATGCATGAAGTAATCACTGCACATAAAGCATGATAATTTGGCATACTTTATTATATATTAAGTGAGCACTACACACATAAATAGAATCTTGAAAGTTGCAAATCGATATGTACATTATTGTAGAGGAAATGGCAAACGAATAAAAAATGATATAAAAAGCTTTACGGGTATACCAATCGGGAATTCTTTTAAAAAACAAAAGGTTATGTATTGTTACACACAGATATTGAATTCGGAAAATAGCTACCAGAGGAATAAACCCCTTCGTTTACTTCTTTAAGGCCCAAACGGTCCGTTTTTATTTCCACGCATTTTTTACGTGATTTATATGTATACACGTTGTCCGACGGATGCATTATGAAACGGAAGCGCTTCCATTTTCTTTCTTTACGAGGGACACTGTATATACTTTGTTACAATATACTTTTGATTTTTAATATTCCCACCGACTTCCCGTGCCTATATACAGGGATTCCAAAAGTCAGGAAACAGGACAATTGTTATAAACAACGGGAACAATAGAAACCCGTTTGCTTACTTGCTGAACACCCTATATACGTATAAAGCCAGGCATAGCAGCACTCACCGTTTTCCGCAGTGTTCAACATGATGCGGGTTCACTCAGTTAGTCTACAACATCGGTATTGGAGTGACTTCGCATTGGACGTATCATACTTGGACGAACGTGTTGTGTCGTTATCATCTACAAAAAGCGGATAGAATATATATTAATTTTGTGTCTGTATCATTAACGATAAGTAGTCGAGAATTAAAATAGATAAATCTTTATGTTGGAAAAAATCTGCGGAAGAAACGTGCCGATAATCACGTACGATATTTTTTTTTATTTTCCTAATGATCGAAGAAATCCCGAGGCAAACATGCAGAGAAATTATAACAGCAAAATGTTTTTCAATTGATTCGCTATGCAGAACTCGTTTATGAGATTAAATTGTCCACCTGACAAATACCGATAGGGAGGCGAACGACCAATATTATTTTCTTAGACTTTGCAACGCACCTCAGGCACAGCTATTTTCCTTTTCCACCATTTGCCATTACTACATCCTGTACGTATTCTTCATCTGTATATGTGTATGTGTTAGCACAATATATAATGAACGCATTTTATTTCAACAAAAAGGCACGTCTCGATGGTACACTCAATCAACTCCGATTCACCATCATTGCTGGGCGTTGGTGTTTTCTCGGCCTTTCCCCTCGCTACCATTGCTGATTGCAAGCCGAACACTCGTTTGCTTCATTTGCCTTTACACATAACCTAACTATATTATAATCACGTATGCGCGTGTTCTACTATCCACAAAGCTATGCGGAGGAAAAGTTTTTAGAAAGAAAAAATTATGTATACACAAGAAGAAAAATAATTTTTTAAAACAACCCTATGTGTTGTATAATATCGCAACGAAAGAAAAGCCTAGCCGTTTCACGGTCTGTTTAGCACGGTTGCCTCGAGGGGTTTTACCCCTGAATTATAACCATTCACTATTATATATTTTGTATGTCTGCGTTTGAAACATATACCTACAATCTCTCTCTCAATTATACTCATAATATATATATATTACCCTTATATGTGTAGTGTGTTTGTGAAATCGTACAGCGAAGTGTAATGACAACTACATCGACTGCAGCAACAACAATATAATAATAATAATAATAATAATCCAGACGGGTGACCAGAAAGATCGAAATCAAGGAATCGTCATGGAATGGTTGGGATAGCTGTAGTTGTTTAGTGCTGCAGCTGATGGTTTATCCACGGTCTTCTGAACTCAATCAACAGCCCCTTTTCCAGGCGATTGTGGCGGAAGTGAAGGGCAATCGTTTCATTATGGTTTATTGTCGGGAGTGATAGGCAATCGTCACAATTAGGTCGTCCTTTGAGAAACGTGTTTTTACCCCTGACGTTTCGCCTCAATCAGTGTGGAATTTAAAATATATACATACATAGACTGCTTCTCTCCTACAGAAACATCCTTAAACGCTATCCCTAATCCACACGTGTATGTTTCATGTAATACATTTTTCTTTACAATTACACCAAGTTACACTATGTTATCACAAATATATATATATATTACACAAAAATCTAATGAGTAATTTTTTAGATCATATACACATAATTAGGATCAGGTGATCTTTCATCTTCGGTCACTGCACGTACATTGGCCAAACTTTGGGTAGCGCCGTGTTAGTACAATTAATGTTTCTTCAAATTACTTTTTGTTTCCTTAATTTTTGTAAATAGGTATAAAAATTGTGTGATGTTTCGATTGAAAGCGAATTGTGTCACCAGAAAACAATAAACGTTGATAGATAATTGGCGATATTGGACAACAAATTATAGTTTAAAAAGTGAATTTATAAGTAATAAGTTTTTTTATATTATTTTTTTTTTTATAGCAAAAACATTTAAAAAAATAAGTTTTGTACATTTTTACAATAACTATTATTATTATTATTATTTATTTGTACCAAAATTTTTAATTTAATTAACATAATAAAAACTCAATGGTAGTACTCTGCTTGAGTTAATTTTTTTTTCATATTTAATGGTTGGAGTAGGTTTCTAAACTGAGATTTCTAAGAAAAATGGAAGGTTATTCGGATATGTTGGTTATGAAAGACTTTTAATAAGAAAATTTGAATATAAGAAGTTAAAAAAACGTAGTGACGTAGTTATGTAGGGAGATGATGGGGATAGATTTCCTTACAGAACAAAATCATTTACACGGTGAACATAAAAATTTTTTTTGTTCGGAGGGGTAGTGAAAAATTTTCTTGTTCCTCCCACTGTTGAAAAATTTGTATCAAATAATCGAAATTTACTCTATAGTATGTATTGGTAAATCTATCATTATATGCAACAAAAAAAAATATTAATAATTGTGTATTGAAGTCTTTATAAATTTAAAGACTATTTAAGTTTGAAAAATACAGCTGCTAAAACTTCCTTCATAACCTAAATAATAATTTTTATACAATAGAGTTTTTCATAAATGTTATCAAACAATCACAAGGCTATGTATTTATTAACGAAATTTTAATTAAGATTTAATCTACAATTTATTAAGCATATGAACCAAAATTATTAATTTTGCTATCTATCATATAGCTCATTAATTTGTTATTTTAATATCGATTATACAATACAATATACGCTATTAGACTTAAGTTTGCGTGTGACGTTCTTAAATAATCAAAATATTCTTGCTAAAAAACGGTAAGTTTTTTAAGTAAATGACTATAGTAAAAAAAAAAAATCTGTGGCTGTTCAAAAGTTAATATATTACTTCCAGCTAATTTTCAGTGGAGCAAATACAAATTTAAAACTTTAATGGTTTCTTATAAATAATTACATTTTTGAAGTGAAAAACATAAACCTTCCTGTTAAATTATATTAAAATGTTTTGACACAAAAATATATACTACTTTATATACATTATAATCATCTTCAAAGCCTATTTTTATTACAACAGCCATTTGATTAGAGCCATTTAGTTAAAAACAGATGATCCTATACATTTTTGAATCCATTAACAAAATTACATAGATTATTGTCGAAGAGTAATTTAATGTAATGCATATCAATAATAACTTGTTATCGAGTGATAAGATTAAATGGAAAATAATACCAACGTTTCAATTTGCACTATTAAACCGCCTACGCTTATCGTGTGTACCGTACGCAAATGGGCGTACGTGGACAAAATCAAATTACCCTTAATGTGATAAAAAGTTTCCTAATTACCGTGTTAAAAACACCACGATATTATTACTTTAATAACACAATAATAAATCACTAACAGAAAAATGAAAATGTTTGATGTTCATAAACACGCCTACATTTATCCTTTAAATATAATGTTTACATTTAATGAGTGTATATGGAATTTTCCGTTTCCGTGCCTAACACATTATACTTTGAAATAATATTAAAATAATACGATGACATTAATGAGGTTAATTAGACGAGTGTTAATTTTTGAAATTACCAAAACCCATGATTGCCCAACGGGGGTGAAATTGAGGTATTATCCGTATAGTAAATTCCTAGTGGAGATGGTTGAAAGAGAGTAAAAAACAAACATTCAGTGTGCAGTAATAATAATTTTAATGAAAGCCCTTCCAAGTAATTCGAAAAAAACCATTAGGTTTTTAAACTTAATGAAATGTTTATAATTATACATAACATAGTTGCGTCGCTAGGTGATCGGGAAACGGTGGCGCCGGGTTTCCTCGATTAATTTAAAAAAATAATAACAATAATGGAATTGGATTTTCACCCTTCTCCTTTCAATATCTCTCACCCCAACAGGATAATTTTTTTTACATTTATTTTGTGTTGATGTCTGTAACTATGATATATTTATTAATTTTTGACTATGCAAACAAATTAAAGTGCTATGGTTTCATTTTTGTTTGATTATACTAAAAAATTAGATATTTATTTGAACATACTTATAACTTAAATGACTGGAACAATAATTAAAGTTAACAAAAACATATCTGCAAGACTACATTGAAGCAAAACACTAAGACTAGTCTTAAGAAAAGAAACAAAACTTCATCTAGAAGCAATGAAACATGTACTGTATGATTGATCGATTCTAGGACGACAGCCGCCAGCCAGAAAAACGAGATTCAGCGAACTGCGCTCACATTATTGAGATGGAAACAAAAACTCTCTCAATTTGTGTAAGTGGTTTCTTCCGTACGCGCGGCGCTATTATTAATTCAATACGCCGGTGGTTTGCCGTTTAAATTTGGATAGAAGCGTTTTTATTTTGTACTTCTATCAGTCGCAGGACTGAGAAGGCTAATTTAATTCAAAATTAATCAGGCACTATCGGTAATTAAAAATAAAAGAGCGCTATTAAAACATTTATAAGCGAATTAAAAAATGACAGCATATACCGATGAGAAGATACAAATAAGACAGTTAGATAGATAGAGTGAAATAGCTTACATTATAAAACATGTACACGGTTTACGATGGAGGTGGTGGTGGTGGTGGTGTAGTAGAACAATGAATATTGCACGGGATTATTGGTAATCCCACTAAAAGCGTCAGTTTGATCAAATTTATGCTGTCCCGCTCGCGCGTCCAATTCGCAATTAGCCGACACACGTCCCGCCCTGCTTTTTCCTCGGCTGGTCGTCACTCCGTTTGCCTCTACGTCTCCACCACTACCGCCGTCTGTGCCATCACCAGCGAGAGGAAGATCTCATTCGTCGTAAAAGCTTTTGCCGAGCGGAAAACCCATTCGTATTGTTCATTAGCGTTGATGAAAATAGCTTTTCCACCGAGGCAATCAATCCAAAAGAGAACGAAAGACTGAGTGAGTACGAGGATGAGGAACTGTGGAGGGTATTGATTCGCCTAGCACCCAGAATTAATTTGTAGAGTGGTTTGCGGTTTTTTTTTTACCCCCCTCCATCCCGCTCTATCGTGTTGATAGAGCGCATCATGTGTTGTGTGTGTGTGTGAGAGTGCATACTACTAACTTCACCCTTAAGTAGGATTGCCGCCGTTTCCATTTATTTATGAGCCCGATCGCTCCAAAGGCTAAAACTATGTTTTAGAGTTGAGCAATAGTGGCGTAACAGATAAGTACAGATGCGGAGGAGTTCTTAAAAGTAAAAACACAGGGATTCTCTTTTAGCATTGTGTTAATG